ACTCAACGGAGAAACGCCCAGAACCACTCCTACTTACCAGCTCCAAACCCTTTCTCTCGATTCTCTACTCTAAGCCACTCTTGGCATCAGCTAGAGGCTCCAGATGCTTGGAAAGCACCCTCTGGCCGATATTGGACATGTGGAGCACGGGCATATCGGCAACTGCCGGCTAAATGGACAAGGATGTGTGTTAGAAACAATCAAGCCATCCTTCTTTTTACTTCCTCTAAACCAAGGGGAACTCTTAGGGTATCCAATTTATGATAAAAATAAAAAAACTAGAAGCATAATCACAGCTAGAATACGCAAGTTGGCCCAAGCTCCAGTTTAGACTTGGTCCGGATGGTCCCCGGATTCCTTGTTTGGAGGATGGTTCTCAACCTTTGGAGGATTCAAAACCCTCATTGGTAGGCTTTTGCTTATTCTTGGCATCTGCCTCATCCTCCCTTGCCTTTCACCCCTGTGTATTAGGAGTATTCAGTCAACTACAGAGGCAGCAGTAACCCAACACACTACCACGCCGTGGATGGCATTAACCAAATATCAGCCACTGCCAGTAAAAGCAGCAGCTCAGCTCCACCAAGAGGTGGCAAATACTGGTGCTTTCTATTAACACCTTTGTTATACAAAGCACCAAAGGGGGGAAATGAAACAGGAATGAAAAGAAATTAAAGAACGTGTAAACAAAAACTCAGTTTATGTAAGAAAACCCAATTCCCCCTGAGGAAGAGAAAGAGGTGGAGTCCTCTAAAAATTAACTGCCTGTTTTTCTGTCTGTGGCTACTGAGCCTTCTCTCTCCCTATCCCAGGCATTGTGAAGACCGTTTCTCCAGGTGTGCAGCTGCAAGGGCACTAGACCGATAAGTCGTAAAACATGTTGTTCCTTGAAAAGTAAAAAATGATGTAATGCATGTCTCAACTGAATAACTGTCTTTGTTTCTCGCTTCTGTAACGTGCTTCCCCCTGCACAGATCTCCCCCCGCCCCACGAAATGCTTAAAAGGTAACTCGACTCTTTGTTCGGGGCTCAGTCCTTTGGATGTTAATCCGACTGGGTGGGTGCACCTAAATAATTAAATAATTCCTCCTCCACCCCTCGGTCTCTCTGATTCCTTAATTATCCCACTGCCATTTCAAAGCGTAATTTGCGAGTTTCTTGGGCTAAGAATATAGCTCTAAAGGACTGATGATATCAATTACTCGGGAGTACAGAATATTACCATTCTCGATTCGGTTATCCCCTTCACACTCTAATTTCCACATGGATATTAATAGCACTATTTGAAGTAGAGGAAAAATGAATTTAGTGAGTAGCATTCCTTCAGAATTCTGTGGCAAGCCTAAAATCACATTTACAAAAACAGAGTTAACCGTTACCCTCTTAATTTATGTTAATACCTTCCTGTAATGGTCTGAATTCACATGCTTTGCAAAGTGATCAATTTACCAAAACAATTATGATTTTCCTGGCCGGGTGCAGTGACTCACGCCTATAATCGCAGCACTTTGGGAGGCCGAGGCAGGTGGATCACAAGGTCAGGAGATCGAGACCATGCTGGCTAACACAGTGAAACTCTGTCTCTACTAAAAACACACACAAAAAATTAGACAGGCGTGGTGGCAGGCGCCTGTAGTCCCAGCTACTCAGGAGACTGCGGCAGGAGAATGGCGTGAACCTGGGAGGCGGAGTTTGCAGTGAGCCAAGATCGCACCACTGCACTCTGGCCTGCGCGACAGAGCACAACTGTGTCTCAAAAAAAGAAAAAAAGAAAGAAAATTATGATTTTCTTGCATTCATATGAAATAATTTAACACACTGTTTTATATGTGTGTGCGCGCGCACATGTGCATATATGTATACACACACACTAAGCAACAAACTAGTTTTTTTTTTTTTTGAGACGGGAGTCTCCCTCTGTCACCTAGGTTGGAGTGCAGTTGCGTGATCTCTGCTCACTGCAAACTCTGCCTCCTGGCTTCAAGTGGTTCTCCTGCCTCAGCCTCTTGAGTACCTAGGATTACAGGCATGTGCCCCCACACCTGGCTAATTTTTTTGTTGTTTGTTTTCTGTTGAGACAGAGTATCACCTTTGTTGCCCAGGCTGGAGTGCAATGGTGCAATCTGTGCTCACTGCAACCTCCACTTTCTTTCAAATGATTTTCCTGCCTCAGCCTCCCAAGCAGCTTGGATTACAGGTTCCCACCACCACGCCCAGCTAATTTTTTTGTATTTTTAGTAGAGACAGGGTTTTGCCATGCTAGCCAGGCTGGTCTCAAACTCCTGACCTCAGGTGATCTGCCCACCTCAGCCTCCCAAAGTGCTGGGATTACAGGTGTGAGCCACTGCGCCTGGCCTTGCTCATTTCTTGATTGTTAGGTTTTTGTTGTTGACTATTTTTTTTAATTGAAGTATAATATACATACAGAGAAGCCACCAATCCCCAGTGGGCAGCTTGGTAAATTATTGTAGAGTGAATATATCTGGACACCAGCCCTCAGATCAAGAAATAGAATATTACCTCCCCCAGAGCACTAAGATAATTGCTATCCTGACTTCTCACCAGATGTTTCTTTTGCTTGTTTTAGAGCTTCACAGAAACAGAATCGTGCAGTACGCATTCATTTGTGTCTGGCTTCTTCTGCTCAGCATTATGTTGCTGAGATTCACCAACTGTGCATGGCAGCTGTTCATCCATTTTCAGTGCTATAAGAATTTTACTCTATAGGCCGGGCGCGGTGGCTCAAGCCTGTAATCCCAGCACTTTGGGAGGCCGAGACGGGCGGATCACGAGGTCAGGAGATCGAGACCATCCTGGCTAACACGGTGAAACCCCGTCTCTACTAAAAAATACAGAAAACTAGCCGGGCGCGGTGGCGGGCACCTGTAGTCCCAACTACTCGGGAGGCTGAGGCAGGAGAATGGCGTGAACCCGGGAGGCGGAGCTTGCAGTGAGCTGAGATCTGGCCACTGCACTCCAGCCTGGGCGGCAGAGCGAGACTCCGTCTCAAAAAAAAAAAAAAAAAAAAAAATTAAAAAAAAAAAAAAAAAGAATTTTACTCTATAAATATACTGAGAGGTACTTACCCATTCTCCTGTTGGAAGCTGGGGCTACTGTGAATTGTGCTGATAAAACACTCTAGTGCACATCATTTGGTGAACACATGTACAGTGCACAGTTTTTTGTTTGTTTTTTTTTGAGATGGAGACTCGCTCTGTTGCCCAGGCTGGAGTGCAGTGGCTGGATCTTAGCTTACTGAACCTCCCAGGTTCACGCCATTCTCCTGCCTCAGCCTCCCAAGTAGCTGGGACTACAGGCGCCCGCCACCTCGCCCGGCTAGTTTTCTGTGTTTTTTAGTAGAGACGGGGTTTCACTGTGTTAGCCAGGATGGTCTCGATCTCCTGACCTCGTGATCCGCCCGTCTCGGCCTCCCAAAGTGCTGGGATTACAGGCTTGAGCCACCGCGCCCGGCCCAGTGCACAGTTCTTTTGGGTCTATGCATAGGAGTGGAATGTGGGGATCACAGATGTGGTCTCCTTTAGTAGGTATTACCCAAGGGTTTTCCAAAGTAGTTGTGCTATTTTACATTTCCAAAAGTAGTATATGAAGTTTCAGTTACTCCACATTCTTGCCCAAACTTGGTATCAACAGTGTTTTTAATTTTAGCCATTCGAGTAGGTGTAATATTGGCTTCTCACTGTGGTTTAAATTTGATGGCTTACGAGGTTGAGCATGTTTTATATGCTTTTTGGCCACTGGGATGTTCATTTGTTCTTTCCTCTCCCTTCCTCCCTCCTCCCTCCTCCTTCCCTTTTTTGTCCCTCTTCATTTCTTTCACCTATTGGCCTGCCAGCTTTTTTCTTAATTTTTAAAAAAAATTTATTTTACTTTAAGTTCTGGGACACATGTACAGAACATGCAGGTTTGTTGCACAGGTAAACATGTGCCCTGGGACACATGTACAGAACGTGCAGGTTTGTTGCACAGGTAAACACGTGCCATGGTGGTTTGCTGCACTTGTCAACCCGTCACCTAGGTATTAAGCCCTGCATGCATTTTTCTTATTAATGTACAGGAATTCTCTTTATACTCTACCTGTGATTCACCCTCCTCCATTCCCGCCTCTTTTTTTTAAGAGACAGAGTCTCACCCTGTCACCCCGGCTGGAGTCCAGTGGCACAGTCATGGTTCACTGCAGCCTCAACCTCCCAGGCTCAAGTGATCCTCCTGCCTCAGCCTCCCAGGTATCTGGGACCACAGGCATGCACCACCACGCCCAGCTAATTTTTCGTTTTTGCTAGATACAAGGTCTTGCTAAGTTGCTCGGGCCGTTCTCTAACTCCTGACCTCAAGAGATCCTCTCACCTTGGCTTCCCAAAGTGCCGGCATTACAGCATGAGCCACTACACCCAGTCCCATCTTTTTGCTCTCTTATTGATGAAAAATTCTTAATTTTACTATCACCCAATGTATCAATCATTTTCTTTGGGTATAGTGTTTTGTCTGTCTTATTGAAGAAATTTTTACCTGACTCCTAAGGAACCTTAAAAATCTCCATATGCCTACAAAGTCCCACTGTTCTAATGCCTATTTTGTGCTAGAAAATAAACAAGGCACTGTCCCAAAGGCTATGCCTATCTTGTGGGAAAACTACCTTCATCATCATTTGCCAAGCCAGATGATCGGGATGAGGATAATTTCCATGGCTCCCGGCATCTGGAACCCTTCCAGAATAGCTGGGATTACAGGCACCCACCACAATGCCTGGCTAATTTTTTGTAGTTTTAATAGAGACGGGGTTTCACCATGTTGGTCAGGCTGGTCTCAAACTCCTGACCTTAGGTGATCCACCCACCTCGGCCTCCCAAAGTGCTGGAATTACAGGCATGAGCCACCTCACCCAGCCTTGTTCTCTTGTATGTCAGTTACCCCTCCATGAGGCTGCTAAACATCCTCCCAGCACACACACACACCTGCACATCCTCATGCAGTTTGCAAGGCAGTGGTTCAAGTTACACTTTAATCCCTCAGGCGTGCTCATCTCACTCTCCAAACCTGCCCTCTTGCAGGATCTATGGTTCTTCTAAGTGTCCTGGTCACAAGGCAGCTGGATCAACACTCAGAGGTACAGAGCAGGGCACAGTGTGGTCCCTGCATCTGTCTCACCCCCACGATCTTGACACACAGAGACCTTCCCAGGAGCTGTGACTTGAACTTCACAATCTGCAGGGCCCACCCAGGAGCCGTGTCCTCCTCACAGGCAATGGGATCCCCTCCTCTCTCCACCTGTGTGGGAAGATTGGAAACAAAACATAGAGAACGTGGGAGGAAAAACACTGAGGGGGTGGATGGGCCACACCTGAGGGTCCCCAGGATAGAGGGAAACACTGAGGGGGTGGATGGACCACACCTGAGGGTCCCCAGGACAGAGGGAAACACTGAGGGGGTGGACGGGTCACACCTGAGCTTACCAAGGTTGGAGGGAAACGCTAAAGGGATGGATGAACCACACCTGAGAGTTCCCGGGACAGAGAAAAACACTGAGGGGGTGGATGTGCCACACCTGAGGGTCCCCAGGACAGAGGAAAACACTGAGGGGGTGGATGGGCCACACCTGAGGGTCCTCAGGACAGAGGGAAACACTGAGGGGTGGATGGGCCACACCTGAGGGTCCCCAGGACAGAGGGAAACACTGAGAGGATGGATGGGCCACACCTGAGCGGCCCCAGGACAGAGGGAAACACTGAGGGGATGGACCACACCTGAGCAGCCCCAGGACAGTGGGAAACACTGAGGGGGTGGATGGGCCACATCTGGGCGTACCAAGGACAGAGGGAAACACTGAGGGGGTGGATGGGCCACACCTGAGGGTCCCCAGGACAGAGGAAAACACTGAGGGGGTGGATGGGCCACACCTGAGGGTCCCCAGGACAGAGGAAAACACTGAGAGGATGGATGGGCCACACCTGAGCGGCCCCAGGACAGAGGGAAACACTGAGGGGGTGGATGGGCCACACCTGAGGGTCCCCAGGACAGAGGAAAACACTGAGAGGATGGATGGGCCACACCTGAGCAGCCCCAGGACAGAGGGAAACACTGAGGGGGTGGATGGGCCACATCTGGGCGTACTAAGGACAGAGGGAAACGCTGAGGGGGTGGATGGGCCACACCTGAGGGTCCTCAGGACAGAGTGAGGGACGGCTGTTGTTGGGATGATAATTCCACATCTTTGGAGAACAAGAATTCCAGCTAGTTCTCTTCTCTCCAAACAGTGTGGTTATGAACTAGCTCTCACTCCAGGAGGCTTTAAGGCTCCATATAATATCTGTAGTAATAAACAAAAACAGGCCAGCTGCCACGGCTCACACCTGTAGTCCCAGCACTTTGGGAGGCCAAGGTGGGAGGACCACTGAGGCCAGGAGTCTGAGACCAGCCTGGGCAACATAGCGAAAGCCCATCTCTAAAAATAATTTCAAAAAAAAAAAAATAGTGGTAACTGTCACAACTAACATATTGTTACAAACAAAAATTTACATGAAGGTGAAAAAACTCAACTTTTTTTTTTTTTTTTTTTTTTTTTTTAACCAAAACGATGCCTCAGTCTAGGGAGCGGTGTTTCCTCTCCGGAAGCAACTGAAGCCCTGAGCTGCTGTCCACAGGCGGACAGACTCTCCCGGAGCCCCCAGTGGGCCTCGGCTCCTCCACGTCAGCTCCTCTCTTGTCTCTCTGCTGGTCCGCGGGGGCCGCTGCAGCTGGCCAGGTCTCCTGGGAGTCAGAGGGGGCCGTGGGTTCCACCCCAGGGCCCACCTCATCAGCACTGTGCTCTCACCATCTGAGCACCAGCCCAGAGGAAAAGGAGAAAGGAAGGGTGATGCTGATCCCCCAAGCAAAACGGAAACACCTCCACCTCCCACCCTCAAAAGCACCCAACAATGGGCCCTGGGCACCGGGGGCCTCACAGGGAGTGTTTGCATCACAGTAAAATCTACAACGTTCCCACAGCGTGTGAGTGGACGCTTCCTCAACGCAGGCATGTCCGGCTGCCCCAAGGAATCTCCGGTAACGTCGAGATCTTTGAATAGGAGCAAGGGATCAAGGCCGATGGCATCTCTGAGGGCCTCAGTTTCCATCCATGAGGGCAAGCTCCCCTTTGGGAATCTGGGTTATGGTTCCCGAGATGGGGACAAGAGGCCTCCACTGACGGCGGTATTTACAAAAATCCATCACGTAAACACGCATGTGAAAGTCCAAGCAGCACAGTAGCTCACTGGAAAGGTGAAAGTTTCTCATCATCACACCCATAGAGATAATGGGGGCGGGGTGGGGGCAATCGCACGTGTGTGCTCTGTGCACTCACAGCCGCCCCTCCTCTGCTCTCTGGCTCCCGATGTGCGTAGTGAGAGGCAGACACCAGGCTAGAATCAGGAGGCCAGCGCCCTGTCCCAGTGAGTTTGGGTCTTGAGACAGTGAGTAGCAAGGGTGCAGAGAGGAAGGGATTTATCGACAAAGTTATCTGACTTTGATTCCCGAGCTCAATAGGGAGAGTTTGAACAACAAGGGACACCAATACTAACACATGTGTTAAACAGAGAAACTGCTTCTCATATCTGATAGGCAATAAATGTCGCATTTATTTATACTTCTAAGCAAAGTCTCATTCTCACTTGCTCATTTTCGGAGAGTGAGAAAGCCCAAGATCTCATGGCCCTTCCCCTTCCTCGGGTTATGGACACCAGGGCCCTGGGGACTGCAGAGCTGGGGAGGTCTCCTGGGTGTCACAGGGGGCCATGGAGGAGAGCGGAGGAGAGAATGCTGTTCTTGGGTGTGATCAGGTGGCTGTCAGATCCCCGCTCCTACATTCGGTAGGGAGTGACCTTCGGAAAATTATGTAACCTCTCTAAGTCTCGGTTTTCTCAAATGGAGCTGATGGTAATAAACCTCATCCAGGAGAACAGTATTTGTTTATCATCCTCATGGCATTCTTTTTAAGAGCTTCACAGCACTCCATTATATGGGCATTAAATCGTTAATTTATTGTGTATAATCTCAGCTCACTGCAACTTCCACCTCCCGGGTTCAAGTGACTCACCTGCCTCAGCCCCCCGAGTAGCTGGGATTACAGACATGCGCCACCACGCCCGGCTAATTTGTGTATTTTTAGTAGAGATGGGGCTTCACCATGCTGGCCAGGCTGGTCTTGAACTCCTGACCTCAGGTGATCCACCCACCTCAGTCTCCCAAAGTGCTGGGATCACAGGCCTGAGCCACCACTCCGGGCTCATAGACCTAAATGTAAAACACATTTGTTGAACGCCACGAAACCAGCAGCTTTGCTGTCACCACCAGAGGGCCTCACATGATTTGGAGAATTTTCAAACAGGGATATTGATGCAAACAAACAGGAAGGACCAGTAGCTCTGCTCGTCTCCCCAGAGACCAGAACCTGCCCGAACCACCCAGCTTCCCTGACTGATGACAGTGCCTGAGCGCATGTGAAGAGAAGACATGGCGAGGGGAGATGCCTGTGGAAAGCAGATGGCCTGAGCTCTGTGTGCACGCCCCAGTCCACGGGGAGATCCATCAGCAGCAATGGAAGCCTCACCGACTCAAGGTGTTAGTGCACAAATTCACACAACTGTAGGTGGAATACCATGCATGCAGATAAAGGAGCGGTTCCTGGGAAGCCATGCATAAGAACAGAAACAAACAAAAAATGAGCAGAGGCGGCTGTGGCTACACACTGCTGACTGAATTTACAAATTTAGTACAGGCAGGTTACAAACAAATGAACAAAACAGTAACAACAATTCTCAGGAGAAAAGAATCAGAATCCAGCGTAGAACAGTCTATAACCTAAAGCATCCAGTGTTCAATGATAAGTTACAAGACAAAAAAACAGGAAAGTGTGGAGGGAACCAGTCAATAGAAACTGTCTTCATGTCCCTAGATGTCACACTTAGCAAACAAAGACTTCAAAGCAGTTACTGTATGTTAAAAGAACTAAAAAAATGGCCAGGCATGGTGGCTCATGCCTGTAATCCCAGCACTTTGGGAGGCCGAGGCGGGCGGATCACTTGTAGTCAGGAGTTCAAGACCAGCCTGACCAACATTGAGAAACCCTGAGAAACATTGAGAAGGCCAGGAGGGTGAAGGGAACTGCAGGGGTGGGTGGTGGTGGGCAGGGCTGGGATTTAGCCTCCTCCTCCCACTGCCCACCCACCCTTAGGAGCCCTTTGTGAGGGGGAGGCCCCAGCTCTGTGATGTGGGCCTGGGCCCCAATAAATACTCCCAGAGGGGATGCCCAGGGCTCAGTAGCCGGAGGACAGCAGTGCAGCTGACATGGATATTCTCTTTCCTCTGAGTGTTATTGATACAGAGCTGTGCCCCAGCCCCGTTCCCCAGATCATCCATCTCATCCTCTTCGTTGGGTTTAGCCTGGTGTTCCTCCCTGTTTCCCAGGGAGCCGTCCTCAGTGCCTCCCAGAGAGGAGAACAGCGAGAATGTAAGGAGCCCTCAGCCCACACCCAGCAGAGAATGATTCTATTTTTCCTGCTCTCTTTTCCACTTTTCCAAATCAAGCAGAGGCGCTCCTGTGATGGGAAGTCTCATCATCCCTCTAGGGACGGCAGGGCAGGCAGGGGTTGGAGTGGGCATAGGATTTCCATCCCCAGCTCCCAGACCATCTGTGGGGTGCACCGGAGGCGTCAGAGCAAAAACAAACCCCGGGACTCAGCGGCGAGGCCCCGGCCATGAGAGGGGTGAGGTCTCTGTGGGAGGACAGGCCCTGAGCCCGGGCTCATCAGCCGCCTTCCCGGGCAGGTGCCTCGGGGCCCAGCCTCTGTGTGGGGTGCTCTGGCGGCTGTGCTGAGCCCCTGAGAGCCCCCACCTGAGCCTGGACTCGCCTCTGGCCTCCTCGGAAGCCGAATCCTCCCCTGCCAGCTCAGAGGCTCCTGCGGAGGCAAGTGTGTGTGGTTCCCAAGCAGGGGAACAGGCACTGAGGACGCCCAGGGCGGGCCTCACATAGAAAACCCCTCCGTGCATGGCCGGGGGCGGTGGCTCAAGCCTGTAATCCCAGCACTTTGGGAGGCCGAGACGGGCGGATCACGAGGTCAGGAGATCGAGACCATCCTGGATAACACAATGAAACCCCGTCTCTACTAAAAATACAAAAAAATTAGCCGGGCGAGGTGGCGGCGCCTGTAGTCCCAGCTACTCGGGAGGCTGAGGCAGGAGAATGGCGTGAACCCGGGAGGCGGAGCTTGCAGTGAGCCGAGATAGCGCCACTGCACTCCAGCCTGGGAGACAGAGCGAAACTCCGTCTCAAAAAAAAAAAAAAAAAAAAAAAGAAAACCCCTCCGTGCTTTTCGAAGAAGGAAACCAGAACAGGTTATTATGCACTTTAGAATCGAGTGAAAGGAAAGAGAAGCACACAGGGCTCCGTGAGCCGGGCGGAGAAAGTGTGTCATTCACGAGCACTGTGGGTCTGCAGCTGTGGGGACAGGAGACTGAGACCCGGCCTGCGCCCTCACTCTGTCTTGTCTCTCAGGATAAAGCTGAAGTGGGGGAATGGCTCAGGATCGGAAATAAATACATCACCTGGAAAGGTAAGGCTCTGAGGGTCCCAGAAGCCCCAGAGATGACAGCTTCACCTGTCCCTAGGAATAAGCACCAAGTCTCCTAGGAAGTCATTTGCAGAGGCCTGGTGGGGAAGCTCCTGGTAAGGCGATTGGAACCTGGGATATGTCTCCCGTTCCCTGCTGGGATGAAGCCTTGGGGTCCAGGGAGCGGGTGTTGCCCAGGAGGGGACTGTGTGGGGGAGGGGACCAGTGACCACCTGGACATGCTGGAGGGGATGCAGGTCTATGTGGGCAGCTGTTTAACATGGCTGAGTCCTCTTTGAGAGTGCCCCGTCCTCTCTCCCCAGGAGGCAGCATGTCGGGAAGCACTTTGTAAATGACAAAGTGCTGGCCCCCGGGCACCTGGCTCTCACTCTTGGGGCCCTGTGGCCTTCCACAGGGATGCTGGGGCTCCAGGGTCTGATCCCCGATCCCGGGGTCTCCCCTAAGGGTACATGCACTCAGCCTCCTGTAAGTCCCAGTTTCTTCCCTCACCGCCATAACCCATCTCCTGCTTTCCAGCTTGGAGAAGTCTCTTGAAAAAACTGGAGAACGTTAAGGACCACACTCTCCTGCCAGAAAAGTGAGGCTGTTTCTCCTTCTCTCCCGTGTCCTTCCTACCTGGACCCAGGATGCCAGCCCAGGGCCTGGGGCTGATGTGGGAGAGGAGATCACAGCCGTGATGTCACTAAAGCCGTGGAGCAGAGGTAGGCAGAGCTTTGTGAGGTGAGCGTGAGGGGCCTTGGAGGGGCGTGGGCCGCAGGTGCCCAGTGCTCCTGGCTGCAGCCTGTGCCTCCTGTGCCCTGCAGGCTGCTGAGGAAGCTCCCTGGTGAGGTCAGCTTCCGTTGTCTTCTAAGCCGACACCGCTTGAGGAAGTTGTTTGAACGAGGCCCTTGGAAGGTTCACTGGCCAGGTTGGGGGCAGTATGGGAAAGCTTCTGCCACCAGATTGTCTCTGGGCTCCCCTGTCTCATTTGGCCTCCACGCCATCATTAGTCCCAAAGACCTCCATACGGTCCTCTGGGTCTCTGTCATGCCTGTGTTCCTCCAAGCTACCAGCGTCTTCATGTCCTCTTGAGGGGTGACAACGTACCAGCAGCCCTTGCTGGTTCTCGGCGCCTCCTCAGTCTTGGTGTCCGGTCTGGCCGCGCTCAAGGAGCCCTTCAGCCCGCCTCTGCGCTGCGGGGGCCCTTCGCTGGGGCTGGCCGAGGCCGGAGTCCGCTCCCTCTGCTGGCCCGGAGGTGTTGGGGGGAGGCGTGGGCGGGAGCTGGGGCGCTGGCGGACAGGAGTGGTTCCGGGTGAGCGCAGGCTCGGCGGGCCCTCCTCAGAGCAGCCGGAGGGGTGCCTGCTGGACTCCAACAGGGGACCAGCGCTCTCTTGGCTGCGGGAGCGCCCTGGCTAAACGCCGCAAACTCCCACGCACCAGCACCAGGGAGCAGTGAAGCCCGCTGGGCTTCCGGAACCGGTGGTTACTTGGAGAACTTTTCTGTCCAGCTAAAGGATTGTAAACGCACCAATCAGCCCTCTGTGTCTAGCTAAAGGTTTGTAAATGCACCAATCAGCACTCTGTCAAAACGGACCAATCAGCACTCTGTCAAAACGGACCAATCAGCACTCTGTGAAAATGGACCAATCAGCTCTCTGTAAAACGGCCCAGTCAGCGCTCTGTAAAACGGCCCAGTCAGCGCTCTGTAAAATGGACCAATCAGCAGGATGTGTGTGGAGCCAGATAAGGGAATAAAAGCAGCTGGCCCCAGCCAGCCGCTGCAATCCATTTGGGTCCTTTTCCGCGTCGTGGAATTTTTGTTGTTTAGTTTTATGTGCCCTCTGGGTTGGCGTTGCCTTTATGAGCTGTAACAGTCACCTCAGAAATCTGCAGCTTCACTCCTGAAGCTGGCCAGACAAGGACCAACTCTGGATGTGCTGGGGTTAAGAGCTGTAACGCTCACTGGGAAGGTCTGCGGCTTGAGCCCGCCAGAAGGAAGAAACTCTAGACACGCCATCTTTAAGAAGTGTAACACTCACCGCAAGGGTTGGTGGCTTCATTCTTGAAGTCACCGCGGCCAAGAACCCACCAATTCCAGACCCGCTGTGACGCACCCTTTATATGAGCCGTTTGCAAGCACCGTATCAGCAAACCTGGGCACCTCTATAAAACCCTTGGGGTCGCTGTCATCCCTCAGCTTCTCCCAGTGACCAGAGATTTTGCATTCCCTGGAGCATCCTTCCCACAAGCCACGTGGGCGTTCTCCCCACCACGGAATCCTGGCTGGGTGTCCTGGTCTGACTCCACCCAGGCTGATTCCGAAACTGACGCCACAATATACCCAATGTGCGACGCCCCTGAGCTGTGTAGCTAGTGGGTGCCTTTTAGCCCTGGAGTGATCCAAGGCATTGGTCGCTACAGTGATCCCAGCCTGCGCCTGTCCTAGAGGCAGGAGGCTGCTAGAGCCCAGTGCCTCTGCACCTCCTCACCCATTCGAGCACCCTAATCTTACCACCCACCTACCAAACGCTTCCCTCTAGGGAGATCCCACAAGCAGGCAGGTGGAGGCAGGAGCCCCACTTCCCTTGGCCTGGATGTGGCAAAGCTGCTGGATGCAGAAGACACGAAAATCTCAGACACTCCCATGGACACCGCACATCCAACATCCACAACAATTAGGAATATCCTGAGGGCAACGTGGAGCTGCGTCCCCTCCCTGATCGGGGTACCCCGCAGTTGGGGAAATGTGTGTTCTAATGGGTTAGGAGAGGAACCTGCAGAGACGCTGGCTGTGTCTAGGCCGAGAGCAGGCGTGTCCGGGTACACACGATAAAGTGTTCAAGGCAGTTTATTACAGTAAAAGAGAAAATACGTCCTCTGTGTTTCCTGTGGCCGCTGTAACAAGCTCCTACAGGCCTGGGGGTTCACAGCAACAGAAACTTACCCCCTCACAGTCCTGGAGGCCAGAAGACAGAAATCAAGCCTGGAGAAGGCAGGGCCAGGCTCCCTCCTGAGGCTCTCGGAAGGAGCATTCCTGGCCTCTTCCGCCTCCAGCGGCTGCCGTGGCGTTCCTGCGCTGTGGCTGTGTCCCAAGACCTACTCCATCCTTCACAGGGCCTTGTTGCCTGTGCGGCGGGTCTGGGTGGAAGCTCCCTTTGCTTCTTTCTTATAAGGCGTTTAGGGCTGGCCTGGAAGACTTAGGATATGCTCCTCTTCTCAGGGTCCCTCCCCTAATCACGTCTATCACCACACAAGGTGATGCTCAGGGGCTTCAGGGCTTAGACATGGGTGTATCTGCGGGAGCCATGATCTGCCTACCATAACCTCCAAGTCATTCGAAAGAGGAAGGCGAATACAGAAAACTGAGTCTCTCTACTAGGAATTAGGAAAAGAGAGAGAAAATAGAAGTTTAGAAAAGCCAGGACAAAAAATTAAGTGGTGGAAATAATTCTCATAGATCAATAAAAATAAGATCCATAAATGTACAGAACAGAGCCTCTCCGATTGGACACAAAACAAAATCTAGCCAGATGTTGCTTACAAAGGTCACAGTGAAGTGTAGAAAGGTAGAAGGCAAGAGGGTGTGGAATAGTATGCAGTGTGAGTGCGGATGGGAAGAAAGCCGGGGTGACCGGGTCAATACCCAACCTAGACTTAAATACACAGGGTCCCTGGGAATGGAGACTCCCAGGTACAGAGCCTATAAGGGTGAGTGAGAGCAGGTGACCAGCTTTGTAGAGGAAAAGGCACTTCCCTGAAGGCTGTGGGGCCCATTCCAGCCTGGCTATGGGAGGACAGCTCTGACCCATCCTCCCATGGGTGGGGTGACCCTGGCCCAGACTAGGGACCATGCAGTGACGGCCAGAAGGCCCTGTTGTGATCATGAAGTTGGGAACTGCCTAAACCGTCTTCACGGAGCCTGTGTGTCCAGAGGGGAATTTCAGGCACATGGAATGCGATGTGAAGGCCATGGTTGCTGAGGACAAGGCTGGGTCAGCGCTAGGCTGGTTTCCAGGAGATGGCAGCAAAGCCACAGAGAAGCCTGGGGAGGGCAGAAATGCACAAGGAGGGGTGGAGCCTGGAGCCTGGCTGGTCCTTGGTGTCGGGGGCTTGAGGGGACCCTGCTTCTTTCTCTGGGAGCCCTGTGGCCCCAACTGGAGGACAGGAGGTGGATAGGCTGGTCCCTGAGGCCCAGGCAGCATTAACTGCGTGTGGAGCCAGGTTTCGTCTGAGCGCTCACAGGCCGGGCCTTTCCCTGCCAGGGACGTGCTGTTTTTACCCCCTAGCAGCCTCCATCCCTCCATCCTGAGCCCTCAGGGACCCTGTTGAGGAAGCAGGAATTAAAGACCCACCCTCCAGGACCATGCAGGCTGTCCTTTGTTTACACTTGGAGAGCTTCTCGAGGCCAGACTCCTTTTTAACACTAGAGCCTCTCCAAGCTCACCAGCACTCTCACCATGCACACACACACACACGAGCATGCACGTGCGCGCGCGCACACACACACACACAGATGAGCGTGCACGCACACATGCACACATTCCAGGATTTTAAACACTTTCCAACACATCTCAGCACTCACTAGAACTATTTCAGTATTTTAAGAGCCTGTATCGACCGTATGTGAAGGCCATTCTCTCTGGGATCGCACACTAAGTCTCGGGTCTCCGTGTGGGGGTTTCACCGGAGTGTGGGGAGCCTTCCTCCTTTGAGGCCATTCAGCTCCCTCCAACTTCATGCCCTGGGCATCGCCCAACTGAGGTCAGCCCGGGTTGGGTCCCAGCAAAGGACGAGGTCCTCTCCTGACGGCAGAGGGTCATCTTCCCCACCCTGAGGCCCCCACTCTGCCTCAGCTTCCTGCTACAAAGCCTGGACTGGCCCCAGGACCTGGGCTGGTGGGCTCCTTCACCACCTTCAGAAGCAGCCATGAGCCAGCGAGAGTGGGGGAAGCCACACCACCCCCATGAGGGGCAGGCAGAGGGGTGGTCAGGGGTGGGAATGTGGCCTCTGTAGCCAGACTGCCTGGGCTCAGATCCCAGCCATGCTTCTGACCAGCCATGGAACCCCAAGCAGTCAGCTGACCCCTTCCAGCCCCAGTGCCCTCATCTGTAGCAGCCAACAGGGACACGCCCAGGCGGGTCTTGGTGTCACGTCTATCACTGGGGGAGGTTGTCAAAGCACACCATATGGGTCATCAGTTACGGGCAGCACAACAGTACAGCCCACTTACGGAGGAGGAGGGAGGCTCAGGTGTGAAGGACGTGACCAGGGACATGCTGCTGAGTGCCCCATCCCTGTCCAGGCCACAGCTTCAGCCTCCCAGCCACAGCCTGTCCCCAGGGACCCCCGGGCCACATCAGCAGAAGCTGGAGGACATGGCCTCTTGGGCCTGGAGTCTCAGAGCCTGTGTCGGTTAATTTCATGGGTCTGCCTGACTGGCCCACAGAGGGGAGGCATTTGGCCAAACATTATTCTGGGTGTGTGTGAGGGAGTTCTAGGTGAGATTAACACTTGAACCAGTGGAATGCAAAGCAGATGGCCCTCCCCAGTGTGGGTGGCCCCTACAATCCATCAAAGACCTGAACAGAACACAAAAGCCGGGTAGGAGAGGATTCATTCTGGGTTTGGTGATAGGGTGCTCGCAGGTGGCTGGTGTGAAAGGTGCTTCGGGGGACACAAAGGTTCTGGTGGCTTGGAGGAGCTCAGCGATGACAGAGACCCCAAGGATTCTACAGAAGTCTTCGGGACTGATGACGGCATGGAGGCCAGAGGAGCCGGGGGAGCCTGTGGGGACACATGGAAGCTGGTGGGAGAAGCTTTCCCACACCCCCCACGTGGCCGGTGGTTCCTCGCAGGGGCTCGTTCGTACACTGGCCCTGGCGTCTTGGCGTGGAAGGTGATGGGAGCTGCCCTCAACAAGGAGCTTCCTCAGGCACCTGCAGGAGACAGGAGGCACAGGCTGCAGCCAGGAGCACTGGGCCCCTGCGGCCCACGGCTCTCCAGGGCCCCCCATGCTGACTTCACAAAGCTCTGCCTACCCCTGCCCCAGGGCTTTAGTGACATCACGACTGTGATCTCCCCTCCCACATCAGCCCCAGGCCCTGGGCTGGCATCCTAGGTCCTGGTAGGAGGGCGAACACGGGAAAGAAGAGGAAAGAGCCTCACTTTTCTAGCGGGAGAGTGTGGTCCTTAGTGTTCTCCAATTCTTTCAAGAGACTTCTCCAAGCTGGAAAGCAGGAGATGGTTATGGTGGTGAGGGAGGATTAACACTTGAATCCGTGGACTGCAAAGCAAAGGCGCTCAGTCTGGCCAGGAGGGGGTGACTACCTCCCACAGGCCCCCGAGTGGTGGGTGCATCCCAGGCTAACATTCCCTGGCCGGCAGTCCCTGTTGAAATGAGGTGGGAGCACTGGCCAGCAGACGAGGGCAGAATCCCACCCTCCTGGCTCCACAAAAGGATGGATCCTGTGCAGCAAAGACTTCAGGAGGTGCCAGATGTGTGGCTCATGCCTGTAATCCCAGCACTTTGGAGGCCAGG